GAGTGAGAGGTTATTTTCCTGGCACCACACTCCCAGAGCCCTCACCTCCTCCCTGTAGACTGTCTCGTCATTGTTGGTAATCAAGCCTACTACTGTTGTGTCGTCTGCAAACTTGATGATTGAGTTGGAGGCGTGCTTGGCCACGCAGTCATGGATTAACAGGGAGTACAGGAAGGGGCTGAGCACGCACCCTTGTGGGGCCCCAGTGTTGACGATCAGCGAAGTGGAGGTGTTGTTTCCTACCTTCACCACCTGGGGGCGGCCCATCAGGAAGTCCAGGACCCAGTTGCACAGGGCAGGGTTCAGACCCAGGGCCTCGAGCCTAATGATGAGCTTGGAGGGTACTATGGTGTTGAAGGCTGAGCTATAGTCAATAAACAGCATTCTTACATTGGTATTCCTCTTGTCCAGATGGGATAGGGCAGTGTGCAGTGTGATGGCGATTGCATCGTCTGTGGATCTATTGGGGCGGTAAGCAAATTGAAGTGGGTCTAGGGTGACAGGTAAGGTAGAGGTGATATGATCCTTGACTAGTCTCTCAAAGCACATCATGATGACAGAGGTGAGTGCTACGGGCAATAGTCATTTAGTTCAGTTACCTTTGCTTTCTTGGGTACAGGAACAATGGTGGCCATCTTGAAGCATGTGGGGACAGCAGACTGGGAAAGGGAGAGATTGAATATGTCCGTAAACACACCAGCCAGCTGGTATACGCATGCTCTGAGGACGCGGCTAGGAATGCCGGGGGTTAGGCAAGGCCGGCAGCCTTGCGGGGGTTAACATGCTTAAATGTCTTACTCACGTCGGCCACGGAGAAGGAGAGGCCACAGTCCTTGGTAGTGGGCCTCGTCAGAGGCACTGTGTTATCCTCAAAGTGGGTGAAAAAGGTGTTTAGTTTGTCTGGAAGCGAGATGTCGGTGCTGGTTTTTTCTCTCTCGCAAATATATATATATATACACACACACACACACACACAGTGAGGGAAAGAAGTATTTGATCCCCTGCTGATTTTGTACATTTGCCCACTGTCAAAGAAATGATCAGTCTATAATTTTAATGGTAGGTTTATTTGAAGTGAGAGAGAATAACAAAAAAATCCAGAAAAACGCATGTCAAAAATGTTATAAATTGATTTGCATTTTAATGAGGGAAATAAGTATTTGACACCCTCTCATTCAGAAAGATTTCTGGCTCCCAGGTGTCTTTTATACAGGTAACAAGCAGAGATTAGGAGCACACTCTTAAAGGGAGTGCTCCTAATCTCAGCTTGTTACCTGTATAAAAGACACCTGTTCACAGAAGCAATCAATCAATCAGATTCCAAACTCTCCACCATGGCCAAGACCAAAGAGCTCTCCAAGGATGTCAGGGACAAGATTGTAGACCTACACAAGGCTGGAATGGGCTACAAGACCATCGCCAAGCAGCTTGGTGAGAAGGTGACAACAGTTGGTGCGATTATTCGCAAATGGAAGAAACACAAAAGAACTGTCAATACCCCTCGGACGGTACATGGCCCCGTCCATCGTCCCTTTGATGCAGTGAAGTTGTCCTGTCGCCTTAGCAGAAAAACACCCCCAAAGCATAATGTTTCCACCTCCATGTTTGACGGTGGGGATGGTGTTCTTGGGGTCATAGCCAGCATTCCTCCTCCTCCAAACACGGCGATTTTGGTCTCATCTGACCACAACACTTTCACCCAGTTCTCCTCTGAACCATTCAGATGTTCATTTGCAAACTTCAGACGGTCCTGTATATGTGCTTTCTTGAGCAGGGGGACCTTGCGGGCGCTGCAGGATTTCAGTCCTTCACGGCATAGTGTGTTACCAATTGTTTTCTTGGTGACTATGGTCCCAGCTGCCTTGAGATCATTGACAAGATCCTCCCGTGTAGTTCTGGGCTGATTCCTCACCGTTTTAATGATAATATATAATATGCAATAACTGGATTTTTTTGTTGTTATTCTGTCTCTCACTGTTCAAATAAACCTACCATTAAAATTATAGACTGATCATTTCTTTGTCAGTGGGCAAACGTACAAAATCAGCAGGGGATCAAATACTTTTTCCCCCCTCACTGTACACACACACACACACACACACACACACACACACACACACACACACACACACACACACACACACACACACACACACACACACACACACACACACACACACACACACACACACACACACACACACACACACCACCGTTCAAAAGTTAGGGGTCACTTAGAAATGTCTTTGTTTTCGAAAGAAAAGCAATTTTTCTGTCCATTACAATAACATCAAATTGATCAGAAATACAGTGTAGACATTGTTAATGTTGTAAATGGCTATTGTAGCTTGAAACGGCTGATTCTTAATGGAATATCTATATAGGCGTACAGAGGCCCATTATCAGAAACCATCAGTCCTGTGTTCCAATGGCACGTTGTGTTTGCTAATCCAAGTTTATCATTTTAAAAAGGCTAATTGATCATTAGAAAACCCTTTTGCAATTTTGTTAGCACAGCTGAAAACTTTTGTGTTGATTAAAGAAGCAATTAAACTGGCCTTCTTGTGACTTGTTGAGTATCTGGAGCATCAGCAATTGTGGGTTTGATTACAGGCTCAAAATGGCCAGAAACAAATAACTTTCTTCTGAAACTCGTCAGTCTATTCTTGTTCTGAGAAACGAAGGCTATTCTATGGGAGAAATTGCCAAGAAACTGAAGATTTTGTACAACGCTGTGTACTACTCCCTTCACAGAACAGCGTAAACTGGCGTTAACTAGAATAGAAAGAGGAGTGGGAGGCCCCGGTGCACAACTGAGCAAGAGGACAAATACCTTAGAGTGTCTAGTTTGAGAAACAGATGCCTCACAGGTCCTCAACTGGCAGCTTCATTAAATAGTACCCGCAAAACACCAGTCTCAACGTCAACAGTGAAGAGGTGACTCTGGGATGCTGTCCTTCTAGGCAGAGTTGCAAAGAAAAAGCCATAATTATAATTATTAGATCATACAAGGTTTTCCTACCCTTACAGCCACATTATGTCGTCAGGATTAACACATCAATACAACGTCATTATAGCAGCAAGGGGTCTTTCTAGACAGTACTTCAATAAACCTCAAGACATCAGAGGCTTGAAAAGGTATCCGTTATCCTTTACTACGGTCACTTCCAAACTGAATCAGTCGGTCTGTTCCTATGTCTTTATCCAAGGGGCCACACACAGTGTTCCCATGTCTTTATCCAAGGGGCCACACACGCAGTGTTCCCATGTCTTTATCCAAGGGGCCACACACGCAGTGTTCCTATGTCTTTATCCAAGGGGCCACACACACACACGCAGTGTTCCCATGTCTTTATCCAAGGGGCCACACACGCAGTGTTCCCATGTCTTTATCCAAGGGGCCACACACGCAGTGTTCCTATGTCTTTATCCAAGGGGCCACACACACACACGCAGTGTTCCCATGTCTTTATCCAAGGGGCCACACACACACGCAGTGTTCCCATGTCTTTATCCAAGGGGCCACACACACACAGTGTTCCCATGTCTTTATCCAAGGGGCCACAAACACAGTGTTCCCATGTCTTTATCCAAGGGGCCACACACAAACACAGTGTTCCCATGTCTTTATCCAAGGGGCCACACACACACACAGTGTTCCCATGTCTTTATCCAAGGGGCCACACACACACACACAGTGTTCCCATGTCTTTATCCAAGGGGCCACACACACACACACACAGTGTTCCCATGTCTTTATCCAAGGGGCCACACACACACACAGTGTTCCCATGTCTTTATCCAAGGGGCCACACACACACACTGTTCCCATGTCTTTATCCAAGGGGCCACACGCAGTGTTCCCATGTCTTTATCCAAGGGGCCACACACAGTGTTCCCATGTAAGCACTAAAAAGTCTATGGTCTATACCCTCAGCGGAGAATGAACAACAAACTGCCATCCTTCAAAACTTTTAAATCGTTGTTTTTGCTTTAAAAGATAGTCTAAGTTACACATCATTTGATATGTTTATTTCTACAAAGGATGATCTCACCATGGTACATTTGAAGCAGTAGGGCTTCTATATTTTCAGTGTTGTCAAGTACAGCTCCAAGCTTCCAAACGTTCTCCCGTTTCCCCTCGGACTCCACCACTGCCATTACAGACTGAGCAAGAATCTTTGTCTGTTTGGGGTGTCCTCAGGCACAGAACAGCCATATCATTAATACCAGAGCTGGACAGGTACATTAGGATGCCTGTCTGTCGGAAAAAGACTGACTGTTTGATCTATTATCTGTGGAAATCCTAACAGCTATAACTTCTAACTGACCTCAGAGTCATTCTGGTGTTGCCTGTAGAGAAATACTGCATTTCTGGGTTGTGTTCATTTGGCTCCAGATAAAGGAAACGGACTGAAACAGCAGTCTTCTAGGACTTGTCTGAAACGATTTGCGTTGCAAAAAGTTAAGACAAATATTATTTTATGAATCCTTTTTTATTAATTTGTGAAAAAAAAAGAGAAAAGGATAGCATGGGAAAAAGACTAGTCATCACACTGGGGGTGTGGTCTACCACAAGGATGAACCCCATTGGGCAGTGGAAGAGTGGGCAGGACACACATCCAGATCATCATTTCTTATTATTCGGTTTGATCCATAGAGACCCATTCTGGCTAAATGTATTTAGTCCTAACATGGCAACCCTGCTGGTTCCATTGAGTCTCAACATGGCAACGCGGCTACATCCAGAGACACCTCACCTGGCAACCAGGCTGGATCCATCGAGACCCAACATGGCAACCGGTGCATACCCATTTCTCCTCTTCATCCTCCTCCTCTTCTTCACAGGAACATTCAGGCAGGGAACTGAGCTGCCACTCCAGTTCATTCTTTTATTTATACATCACGGGAGAGGGGGGGTGTATAGGGGAGGTTGGGGGGAGGGTGTATAGGGGAGGTTGGGGGGAGGGTGTATAGTGGAGAGTGAACAGGGGTGTGAGTTAGTGTTTGCTCTTCTTTGATTTCTTGTGGGACCGGTGCGGAGAATGTGATTTTGACCGTGACTTCTTAGCGGATTTCTTGGGTGTTCTGGAGCGTGACCTCCTGGAACGTTTGGGTGTGCGGGATAATGAGGGAGATCTGGGGAGAAAACACACACAGGAGAGTTAGGAGGAGAACTGGAGACCCAAGCTGTAATGGCCTTAAGGAAGTTTCTGAAAGTTATCCCATCACAAAGAATATCCATCAAATATCTATCCTACTAACAGTTGGTGTCTCAAAGGTTAATAAAAGAAGAGGAGCCAGGCAGACCAGGAAAAGTAGAACAATAAACTTCCATCTAGAATAATGTTTTAAAGACATCTAAACGCTTCCTGACCTTTTGGAGGACTTCTTGCTGCTGGTGACGCGAGGGGAGTCTTTGTGGGAGGAGCGGGATCGTGATGACAATACGTCCTTGGAAAAGGAGCGCTCGGAACGTTCTGACCTCTCCGAGCGGGGGGACGGGGAGCGCACACGTCTGCTGCTGCTGCTCCGCGGGGGGCTGCCGGGCGAGCCGCTGTGACGCCGTTTCCTAGCAACCACAGGAGACAGACCACGCCTGGCAGAGATGACGACATTGGCAGAATATTTTTTATTATTTTTTTGTCAGCACTGATCGTACAACGACTGGGTATCGGTTTTGATTTGAATCCCAGTGAGATATGAATCTCTGTCAAGGAATTGCTGAACTGCCCCTCTATTCAACGGTTCATATGAATGGACCCTAATAGTGAGTTGAGCGCTTTCCTAGGATATATTCTGATAAGAACCCATCACACAGCTCTCCCACTCTTCCTCTTGCTATCCAACCATTATTTATGTCCATCTTCATTTTAGATTTGCATAGAAACGTTTCGTATTATTTTATTTGTTAAGCACGTTGAAAGGCATTTGTTGGAAGAAATGGTGGTCTATAAATAAAGCTTGATTGATTGATCGATACAGCCACTAATGTCATTAAGTCTAATGAATGCACCACACAAACTATGAGGGACTAACCTGTCTCTCCTGGTCGGAGTAGACTCCTCCTTCTCCTTCTCCTTCTTGACGTCTTTTGAACGAGCTTCGCTTTTCTCCTTCTCTCTCTTCTCCTTCTCTCTCTTCTCCTTCTCTCTCTTCTCCTTCTCTCTCTCTCCTTCCAGTTTCTCCTTCTCTTTTTCCTAAACAAGACGCCGTTACGTTATATTATTGAATGGAAAGCAACATTATCCACATTTTCATTTATTTTTCATTTATTCAGCTAGGATAGTACACCCAGTAACAATTGGAACTGTTTTCCAGGGAGTCCTGGGATATCAAATATGTCAATATCTGAAGTATCCTCTTGGATATGTTCTTCAGCTTTAAACTTCAGGTAATATTGAGGTAAATAGCAATGACTGTAATTCCTGTAATAAAGGGTCCCAGAACATTGGCAAACAATAGTACAGCTCCTATGTTCCTTCAGGAACAAAAGAGGATTAGGTTTCATAAGTAATACCTTGAGTAAAAGCTTGTCTCTGTAGTGTTCCACCTGGTCTTGGAGACTCTGGCCAGACTTCTTGGGCCTTTTCCCAGACTCCAGCTCATCCTGGAACTTCATCACTTTGACCTGAAGTTAATAAAACAAATTATTTGAACATTTAGAACACTACGACAGGGTCAATTTACATGGTGTGGCCATTGAACAAGTGAAGGAAACCAAACGTCTTGGTATCATATTTTTTTTTAAACTATTAAATTCACAACTCCGAGCCTCATGTGAGTTGTGCTTGTTCGTCTGTTTATTTCAGGCCATCTCAATAGTCTGTTGTGTAATAATACATAATAATAATACATACCATTTAGCAGACGCTTTTATCCAAAGAGACTTACAGTCAAGCGTGCATTTTATTTGTTTTATTTGTACACATGGGTGGTCCCAGGAATCGAACCCACTATCCTAGTGTTGCAAGAGCCACGCTCTACCAACTGAGCTCCAGTAAAATTACCTCTATCTCCCGTAGCTTGGTGCGCCTGTCCTCATTCAACTCCGAGTGCTTGGTCTTGGAGTCCAAGTCGTCTCTGATGGGCTGGGAGTAACTCGGAGGCTCCTCTGAACGAGAACTCTTGGTGTCCTCATCATCGCTGTCACCCTCGTCCTTCTCCTCCTCCGGCTGCTCAAAGATCTCCCATTTAGAGGTGGTCACGGCTGAGGCGGAGACAGACACACAATTAAGACAAAATCATAGCTTGAAAAGAAAAGTCACAAAAAAAACAGGCTTAGGACACTTTCAAGTGGAATCCTAGCTTGGTAGAAACGACCACAGAAACAGGCTTAGGACACATTGAAGTGGAATCCTAGCTTGGTAGAAAGTAGCCTGTAGTTGTGGTCTCACCCTGTGCCTCCAGATCAGACTCCTCCACTGCTTCCCATTTTGAAGGTGCTACTTTAAAGGATGCTGCTTTGGCAGCAGCATGATCCACTAAAAGACAAGGAGGAAGTTGTTAGAAAACTGTCCTGTTGAGGTTAGGGTTAAGTCCATAGACCGCTTATACAAGGTAAGGAAACAAATATGAAGTATCCCTTTAATAATCAATGTGTCCCTATGTGGATGTGGTAGTGTAGAGGTCATAAGGTCACTGACAGGGCAGTCCATCTATGTCCTCCTCCAGGGCCTTGATGGGCACTCCGTCCAGTTCATCCAACCTCAGGACAGCTCCGTCTAGAGGGGCGCCGCCCACCATGGCACCCCCGTCTAGCCCTATAGGAACCCCGTCCACGTCCTCCCCGATGGGGGCCCCGTCCACGTCTTCCCCGATGGGGGCCCCGTCGATGTCCTCCACTGGCTCAGGCTGGGCCAACAGACCAGGGGCCAGATGTTCAAACAGTGGTTTCTGTAGAGAGGAGAAGTGGAGTGGTTTAGGAATACATTCACAACAAAATAAGCTTCCAAAGGTTATTAGAGCTGCGTGGACGACATTACACAGTCAACATTACCAAATCATAACATTTCCAAATAGTCACAAAACATTGTCAAACCATGATAATATTTTCAAATCGTAGCTAATAATAAGGTCAGTAAGCATTCATTAGGACAAGAGGGGGGAGCAGGCTAGCTCACCTCTACTGTGTTGGGGGTGGGGACCTCCTTCTCAGTCGACAGGTTGACTAGACCCAGGAAGATGTTCTGTAGCTTGATGAGGAAGGGATCTGGGTACACGGCCCAGTCCTCCCACGCACGGAAACACGACATCACCCGTTGCTGCTGGCCAATAGGATATACTACATTAGACAGGTGAAATGGTAAAACTCTGTCCAGAAGCAATCCGTAGCCCCTAAACCAGGTTTCTTCAATTCCGGTCCTGGAGGGCCAAAACACCTCTGTTTTTCATCCTCTCCTTCTAAATCAGGGGCTAATTCAGACCTGGGACACCAGGTGAGTGCAATTAACTACCAGGTAGAAATAAAAAACAGAAGTGTTTCGGCCCTCCAGGACCGGAATTGAAGAACCCTGCCCTAAACCCTAAACCCTGGCCCCTAAACCCTGGCCCCTAAACCATAAACCCTGGCCCCTAAACCCTAGCCCCTAAACCCTGGCCCCTAAACCCTAGCCCCTAAACCCTGGCCCCTAAACCCTGGCCCCTAAACCCTGGCCCCTAAACCCTGGCCCCTAAACCCTGGCCCCTAAACCCTAGCCCCTAAACCCTAGCCCCTAAACCCTAGCCCCTAAACCCTAGCCCCTAAACCCTGTGTAGATCTGAAAGGATTGTGTAGTTCTGAAAGATAGGTGTAGGTAACATGATTAAAATTGTGATTGGAAAATGTATACAATTGAATATACCTTGAAGTTCTCTGACTGGAGGTGACCCTGTATCGTCTTGTATGTTGCATTGAGGTCTGAGAAGATCTGGCAGAGCTTGGTCTCAAAGCTGTGTGAGGGTTGAACATATTAACTTATGTAGGAAAACATCTTCAATGCCAATAAAGTATACTGCAAAGTTATGCAAACCAAAAGCGAACAAGGTCCTTCACACCCACAGTCAGTCACAACCACTGAACCCAAACTCAACGTACTATTTTCTGTAGTAAGAGGCGTTGGCTACTTTAGCAGATGAGTTATACAGCACATCTGAGACAAGATATAACCGTGCAATCTGAAAAACAAGGAAGGAATTATTAAAAGGCATTCAGACCAACTGGCAAGTCCTCCCTGATATAATGGAATAACTATGATAAAAAGGATTACTTTTACTGCATTACATTTTACATTTTAGTCATTTAGTAGACGCTCTTATCCAGAGCGACTTAAAAGAGCAATTAGGGTTAAGTGCCCTGCTCAAGGGCACATCGACAGATTTTTCACCTAGTCGGCTCGGGTATTAGAACCAGCGACCTTTCGGTTACTGGCACAATGCTCTTAACCACTAAGCTACCTGCCGCCCCATGTTTTACACATGCCACTCGAGGCTCTTTCGAAACCAAAATAACAAGGAAAAATTTTACAAAAGCAACAAACACGTGTGAACGCAAAACAAGGTTGTGACTATGACACGATATAGTAACTTCATTGCCCATTTACATGGAAATTCATTTCGTGAGGTAAGCATACAAAACAATACTATATACATGCAACAACAAAAAAAAAAAGGAAGTTGCCTATATAACATAGTATGACGCCTAGCATCCTGTTTACCTTCTTGGGGAGTGGTGTCTTCAGGATGGAGAGAGACTCTGTGACACACTCTACGATCTCCCCTGCAGCCTCGGCATGACTCAGACAGAACAACATGGCCTCTGCTATGTCCCCTTTACATGGAGTTAGACCTCTCAACATCTCTTCTAGCTGATCACGCTCTCTGGAGGAGGAGGGAGAGAGGAGAGGAGAGGAGAGGAGAGAGAGTCAGCCAATATAAGTATGGAACAGTATTGGTATAGGGCAACCCCAAACAGTTTCAGCTGGACTTTCACCTAATCAAAGAAATAGCTCAACAGGATAAGCTCTCCCTTGAGAAAGATACCCCCACCCCGAGCGTGTCAGACCAGACCTCTTCAGTAAAAAAAACCACAGACGAGCAACCCCAAGCGGAAAGTCAACCTCCCAGCACAGAGTACTACTCCCTCATTGAAATGAAGGATAAATTCACCTAGCTGGAGGTAAGGCAGGTGGAGCTGGAACAGCAGGTGATTACACTCCAGTCAGCACAGACCCAGACAACAGTCCAGCACAACAACACCCCCTTAACCAGACCTGGAGAGCTGGAGGTGGAGAGAGACATGTCTGCACTCTGGACTGTGGTGAGACAACATCAACAGGAGAAAGAGCAGGAGCAGAACAGAGCACTAGAGGAGAGGATTCAGAGTGCTGGAGGAGAAGGTGAGAACGATGACGGGTGACAGAGAACAACCCATTAGAGAGCTGGCCACCCCCGCAGAGAACCTACATCCAGACCTACACCTCCAGCCACATCCCCACCGGTTTTGGAGCAGTGGCTTCTTCCTTGCTGAGCGGCCTTTCAGGTTATGTCGAAATAGGACTTGTTTTACTGTGGATATAGATACTTTTGTACCCGTTTCCTCCAGCATCTTCACAAGGTCCTTTGCTGTTGTTCTGGGATTGATTTGCACTTTTCGAACAAAAGTACGTTAATCTCTAGGAGACAGAACGCATCTCCTTCCTGAGCAGTATGACGGCTGCGTGGTCCCATGGTGTTTAGACTTGTGTACTATTGTTTGTACAGATGACTGTGGTACCTTCAGACGTTTGGAAATTGCTCCCAAGGATGAACCAGACTTGTGGAGGTCTACATTTTTTTTCTGAGGTCTTGGCTGATTTCTTTTGATTTTCCCATGATGTCAAGCAAAGAGGCACTGAGTTTGAAGGTAGGCCTTGAAATGCATACACAGGTACACCTCCAATTGACTCAAATGATGTCAATTAGCCTATCAGAAGCTTCTAAAGCCATGACATCATTTTCTGGAATTTTCCAAGCTGTTTAAAGGCACAGTCAACTTAGTGTATGTAAACTTCTGACCCACTGGAATTGTGATACAGTGAATTATAAGTGAAATAATCTGTCTGTAAACACTTACTTACTACTTGTGTCATGCACAAAGTAGATGTCCTAACCGACTTGCCAAAACTATAGTTTGTTAACAAGACATTTGTGGAGTGGTTGAAAAACGACTTTTAATGACTCCAACTTAAGTGTATGGAAACTTCTGACTTCAACTGTAACTGAATAGAAATTCAAAAGGAAATCATCTCAACAGAGAAAGATGTCCTCCTGTGTGCTACCTATATCCCCCCACTAGAATCCCCATACTTTAATGAAGACAGCTTCTCCAACCTGGAGGTGGAAATCAATCATTTCCAGGCCCAGGGACATGTACTAGTCTGTGGCGACCTAAATACCAGAACTGGACAAGAACCTGACACCCTCAGCACACAGGGGGACAAACACCTACCTGGAGGTGACAGCATTCCGTCCCCCAATATGCCCCCCTAGGCACAACTACGACAACATAACCAACAAAAACGGGTCACATCTCCTGCAGCACGCTGGGTATGTACATAGTCAATGGTAGGCTTCGAGGGGACTCCTATGGTAGGTACACATATAGCGCATCTCTTCGCAGTAGTACTGTAGACTACTTTATCACTGACCTCAACCCAGAGTCTCTCAGAGCGTTCACAGTCAGCCCACTGACACCCCTATCAGACCACAGCAAAATCACACTACTTGAACGGAGCAATACTCAATCATGAGCCGCCAAAGGAACAGAATAATATTAAGAAATGCTATTGATGGAAGGAAGGTAGTATGGAAACTTACCAAAAAACAATTAGGTAACAACAAATTCAATCCCTTTTAGACAACTTCCTGGACAAAACGTTTCACTGTAATAGTGAAAGTGTAAACTTGGCAGTAGAAACCTAAACAGTATATTTGACCTCTCAGCTTCCCTATCAAATCTAAAAATGTCAAGCAGAAAAGCAAAGAAAATTAACAACAATGATAAATGGTTTGATGAAGAATGCAAAAACCTAAGGAGGAAATTGAGAAACATATCCAACCAAAAACATAGAGACCCAGAAAACCTGAGCCTACGCCTTCACTATGGTGAATCACTAAAATAATAAAGAAATACACTACGGAAAAAGAAGGAACAGCACGTCAGAAATCAGCTCAATGTAGTTGAAGAATCCATAGACTAACTACTTCTGGGAAGATTGGAAAACATTAAACAAACAACAACACAAAGAGTTATCTATCCGAAACGGAGATATGGGTAAACCACTTCTCCAATCTGTTTGGCCCTATAACAAAGAACAAACAGCAAAAACATATACATGACCAAATACAAAACTTAGGATCAACTATTAAAGACTACCAGAACCCACTGGATCCTCCAATTACATTGAATGAACTACAGGACAAAATACAAACCCTCCAACCCAAAAAGGCCTGTGGTGTTGATGGTATCCTCAATGAAATGATAAAATATACAGACCACAAATTCCAATTGGCTGTACTTAAACTCTTGAACATCATCCTCAGCTCTGGCATCTTCCCCAATATTTGGAACCAAGGACTGATCACCCCAATCCACAAAAGTGGAGACAAAATTTGACCCCAATAACTACCGTGGGATATGCGTCAACAGCAACCTTGGGAAAATCCTCTGCATTATCATTAACAGTAGACTCATACATTTCCTCAGTGAAAACAATGTACTGAGCAAATGTCAAATTGGCTTTTTACCAAATTGCCGACAGACCACGTATTCACCCTACATACCCTAATTGACAAACAAACCAACCAAAACAAAGGCAAAGTCTTCTCATGCTTTGTTGCCTTCAAAAAAGCTTTTGACTCAATTTGGCATGAGGGTCTGCTATACAAATTGATGGAAAGTGGAGTTGGGGGAAAAACATACGACATTATAAAATCCATGTACAAGTGTGCGGTTAAAATTGGCAGAAAACACATATTTCTTTCCACAGGGCCGTGGGGTGAGACAGTGATGCAGCTTAAGCCCCACCCTCTTCAACATATATATATATATATAAACGAATTGGCGAGGGCACTAGAACAGTCTGCAGCACCCGGCCTCACCCTACTAGAATCTGATGTCAAATGTATACTGTTTGCTGATGATCTTCTGCACAGATTCTGTCAGACCTGGGCCCTGACAGTAAAGACAAACATACTGGTGTTCCAAAAAAGGTCCAGTTGCCAGAACCACAAATACAAATTCCATCTAGACAACGTTGCCCTCGAGCACACAAAAAACTATACATACCTCGGCCTAAACATCAGCACCACAGGTAACTTCCACAAAGCTGTGAACGATCTGAGAGATAAGGCAAGAAGGGCCTTCTATGCCATCAAAAGGAACATAAAATTCGACTCACTTCGACTCGGTCTGCTCACCAACCAGAATTCACAAAATGGGACAAAGAATTCTGAAAAAATATCCTCCGTGTACAACGTAAAACACCAAATAATGCATGCAGAATTAGGCTAATTATCAAAATCCATAAAAGAGCTGTTAAAACAAAAATATAATTATTTGACACATTGGAAAGAATTTACAAAAAAACTGAGCAAACTAGAATGCTATTTGGCCCTAAACAGAGAGTACACAGTGGCAGAATACCTGACCACTGTGACTGACCCAAAAGTAAGGAAATCTTTGACTATGTACAGACTCAGTGATCATAGCCTTGCTATTGAGAAAGGCCACCTAGGAAATGTGTGACCATATTAGAGACACATATTTCCCTCAGATTACACAGACCCACAAAGAATTCAAAACAAAACCAATTTTGATAAACTCCCTTATCTACTGGGTGAAAAACCACAGTGTGCCATCACAGCTGCAAGATTTGTGACCTGTTGCCACATGAAAAGGGCAACCAGTGAAGAACAAACACCATTGAAAATACAAACCATATTTATATATATTTTCCCTTTTGTACTTGAACTATTTGCACATTGTTACAACACTGTATATATACATAATATGACATTTGAAATGTCTTTATTCTTTTGGAACTTCTGAGTGTAATGTTTACTGTTAATATTTATTGTTTATTTCACTTTTGTTTACTATTTACTGTAAATACAATCTATATTTATGTTTACGTATTTTCCTTTTTGTACTTGAACTATTTGCACATCATTACAACACACATTACATATACACAATGACACTTGAAATGTCTTAGTTATTTTGGAACTTTTGTGAGTGTACTGTTTACTGTTCATTTTTTAATTCACTTTTGTTTATTATCTATTTCACTGGCTTTGGCAATATAAACACATGTTTCCCATGCCAATAAAGCCCAATAAATAGAATTTTAAGGGAGAGAGAGAGAGAGGGGAGGGCGGGTGATAAGAAAGAAAAGTAGTTCATTTTTAATGTTAGTAGCCTTGTCCGAGCCAGAATGGCCCATAAAGCAGGAGCCTATCTCCTGTTTCTGTAGTGAGACAGCTTGATGTACCAGTACACCCCCTGGACAGAACACTAGTCTATCTCCTGTTTCTGTAAGGTGAGGCAGCTTGATGTACCAGTACACCCCCTGGACAGGACACTAGTCTATCTCCTGTTTCTGTAGTGAGACAGCTTGATGTACCAGTACACCCCCTGGACAGGACACTAGTCTATCTCCTGTTTCTGTAGTGAGACAGCTTGATGTACCAGTACACCCCCTGGACAGGACACTAGTCTATCTCCTGTTTCTGTAGTTAGACAGCTTGATGTACCAGTACACCCCCTGGACAGGACACTAGTCTATCTCCTGTTTCTGTAGTTAGACAGCTTGATGTACCAGTACACCCCCTGGACAGGACACTAGTCTATCTCCTGTTTCTGTAGTGAGACAGCTTGATGTACCAGTACACCCCCTGGACAGGACACTAGTCTATCTCCTGTTTCTGTAGTGAGGCAGCTTGATGTACCAGTACACCCCCTGGACAGGACACTAGTCTATCTCCTGTTTCTGTAAGGTGAGGCAGCTTGATGTACCAGTACACCCCCTGGACAGGACACTAGCCTATCTCCTGTTTCTGTAGTGAGGCAGCTTGATGTACCAGTACACCCCCTGGACAGGACACTAGTCTATCTCCTGTTTCTGTAAGGTGAGGCAGCTTGATGTACCAGTAAACCCCCTGGACAGGACACTAGTCTATCTCCTGTTTCTGTAAGGTGAGGCAGCTTGATGTACCAGTACACCCCCTGGACAGGACACTAGTCTATCTCCTGTTTCTGTAGTGAGACAGCTTGATGTACCAGTACACCCCCTGGACAGGACACTAGTCTATCTCCTGTTTCTGTAAGGTGAGGCAGCTTGATGTACCAGTACACCCCCTGGACAGGACACTAGTCTATCTCCTGTTTCTGTAAGGTGAGGCAGCTTGATGTACCAGTACACCCCCTGGACAGGACACTAGTCTATCTCCTGTTTCTGTAAGGTGAGGCAGCTTGATGTACCAGTACACCCCCTGGACAGGACACTAGTCTATCTCCTGTTTCTGTAGTGAGGCAGCATGATGTACCAGTACACCCCCTGGACAGGACACTAGTCTATCTCCTGTTTCTGTAGTGAGACAGCTTGATGTACAGTACACTCCCTGGACAGGACACTAGTCTATCTCCTGTTTCTGTAGTTAGACAGCTTGATGTACCAGTACACCCCCTGGACAGGACACTAGTCTATCTCCTGTTTCTGTAGTGAGACAGCTTGATGTACCAGTACACCCCCTGGAAAGGACACTAGTCTATCTCCTGTTTCTGTAATGAGACAGCTTGATGTACCAGTACACCCCCTGGACAGGACACTAGTCTATCTCCTGTTTCTGTAGTGAGGCAGCTTGATGTACCAGTACACCCCCTGGACAGGACACTAGTCTATCTCCTGTTTCTGTAGTGAGACAGCTTGATGTACCAGTACACCCCCTGGACAGGACACTAGTCTATCTCCTGTTTCTGTAGTGAGGCAGCTTGATGTACAAGCACACCCCCTGGACAGGACACTAGTCTATCTCCTGTTTCTGTAGTGAGGCAGCTTGATGTACCAGTACACCCCCTGGAAAGGACACTAGTCTATCTCCTGTTTCTGTAGTGAGGCAGCTTGATGTACCAGTACACCCCTGGACAGGACACTAGTCTATCTCAGGGTCTTGAGTGTTAACGTGACAGTAACTTCGTCCCCATGCTATTGCACAAAGCACATATAAGCCTGGTACATCAAGGATTCAAAGTTCGCCTTAGTGGGAGAGACCATAGAATTCTGTGGGAGTGACCTACTGAGTAAAGCATTTGTCATCATTAAATTTTAGCGAATCACACGACTGCAAGGCGTGGCTCTGTGCATGTGGTGTGCTTGAGTACGGGGGCGGGTTAGGGGGAAGGTGTTGTGGGAGATGATTGGTTGGTAGATTAAGCCGATTAAGCAAATGCCTATACGCCTGGAGTTTCTCCAGGTCTTTCTTTGTTGGCTAACGAAGGCTAAGGTTGACTCGTTGGTCCACCAGATTCTTTGCGTATTTGGCCGGAAGTGTCTGAACGACATTAGGGTGACAGTAACCATTAGAGAATACCATTATGTTAATGACATTATAAACAGGGAACCTACTCTTCTTTTAAGCAGCCTTTCTTCCCAGGCTCCTCTTCTTCCTCATCTGGCTCCTTCCCCTCTTCAAAGTTGCCGTGAAGGTAGGGGTTGAGGGGAGGAGGGTGCCACAACGAGCCGTTCTTGAACATGCGGAATTCGTCCGTCCGCCATTTTGTTGGCACTTCTCCCTGTGGGGGGTTAGGACATCATTCACATTAGATTACACAATGAGGACATTGCTCAGGGTGTCAAACAGTAGCATGTTCAACAATCCCTCTTCTTCCTCCTTTTCAATGTGACAATATAAAGAGAACAGACATGTTTGACCTATACAGCTTTCCACCTAACCAGTCATGAGAGAACAGACATGTTTGACCTACAGTGAGGGAAAAAAGTATTTGATCCCCTGCTGATTTTGTACGTTTGCCCACTGACAAAAGAAATGATCAGTCTATAATTTTAATGATAGGTTTATTTGAACAGTGAGAGACAGAATAACAACAAAACAATCCAGAAAAATAAATGTCAAAAATGTTATAAACTGATTTGCATTTTAATGAGGGAAATAAGTATTTGACCCCCTCTCAATCAGAAAGATTTCTGGCTCCCAGGTGTCTTTTAAACAGGTAACGAGCTGAGATTAGGAGCACACTCTTAAAGGGAGTGCTCCTAATCTCAGTTTGTTACCTGTATAAAAGACACCTGTCCACAGAAGCAATCAATCAATCAGATTCCAAACTCTCCACCATGGCCAAGACCAAAGAGCTCTCCAAGGATGTCAGGGACAAGATTGTAGACCTACACAAGGCTGGAATGGGCTACAAGACCATCGCCAAGCAGCTTGGTGAGAAGGTGACAACAGTTGGTGCGATTATTCGCAAATGGAAGAAACACAAAAGAACTGTCAATCTCCCTTGGCCTGGGGCTCCATGCAAGATCTCACCTCGTGGAGTTGCAATGATCATGAGAACGGTGAGGAATCAGCCCAGAACTACACGGGAGGATCTTGTCAATGATCTCAAGGCAGCTGGGACCATAGTCACCAAGAAAACAATTGGTAACACACTACGCCGTGAAGGACTGAAATCCTGCAGCGCCCGCAAGGTCCCCCTGCTCAAGAAAGCACATATACAGGGCCGTCTGAAGTTTGCCAATGAACATCTGAATGATTCAGAGTAGAACTGGGTGAAAGTGTTGTGGTCAGATGAGACCAAAATGGAGCTCTTTGGCATCAACTCAACTCGCCGTGTTTGGAGGAGGAGGAATGCTGCCTATGACCCCAAGAACACCATCCCCACCATCAAACATGGAGGTGAAAAAATTATGCTTTGGGGGTGTTTTTCTGCTAAGGGGACAGGACAACTTCACCGCATCAAAGGGACGATGGACGGGGCCATGTACCGTCAAATCTTGGGTGAGAACCTCCTTCCCTCAGCCAGGGCATTGAAAATTGGTCGTGGATGGGTATTCCAGCATGACAATGACCCAAAACACACGGCCAAGGCAACAAAGGAGTGGCTCAAGAAGAAGCACATTAAGGTCCTGGAGTGGCCTAGCCAGTCTCCAGACCTTAATCCCATAGAAAATCTGTGGAGGGAGCTGAAGGTTCGAGTTGCCAAACGTCAGCCTCGAAACCGTAATGACTTGGAGAAGATCTGCAAAGAGGAGTGGAACAAAATCCCTCCTGAGATGTGTGCAAACCTGGTGGCAAACTACAAGAAACGTCTGACCTCTGTGATTGCCAACAAGGGTTTTGCCACCAAGTACTAAGTACTGTTTTGCAGAGGGGTCAAATACTTATTTCCCTCATTCAAATGCAAATCAATTTATAACATTTTTGACATGCGTTTTTCTGGATTTTTTTGTTGTTATTCTGTCTCTCACTGTTCAAATAAAACTATCATTACAATTATAGACTAATCATTCCATTTACATTTACATCAATTAGCAGACGCTCTTATCCAGAGCGACTTACAAATATTTAGCTTGAATCATACAAAAAACTCAATTCAAATCTATATACATTACACGTAATGTTCCGGTTTAGCAACGCAATTATTTCTTTAAGTTTTGGCAGAGGTATCACGGGGGGGGCCGGACACCGACATTTTCAGGGTTTTTTTTTGGGGGCTCGAAAAAAGATAAAACATAGGGGGTTTTTTTAAATACATTCAAAAATGGGCCCCCCCGTTTGGTCCACC